TACATTCATTGCTATTGTACATCTCACCCAATAAAATGTACACGCATAGTTATAAAAAACTCACATGAACTGTTGTCCCATATTTTCTTCTGGGTTTAAAAATAGCTGAATAAAAATAATTAAAAATTAATTATGAAACTCATTAGATCATTAAAATTATGTCACCTGCTGGATAAACTCCTCTGACATACAGTATGGAGTGTATGGCAGCCTCTATAAATTCTGTAATGACATCAGCTCTAGCTATAATAATATTATCAAACTGAGATTTTCCCGCCACCAGTACCTTCTTTGAATGGCTCCATTAATTTAATAAGTAGGTGTGTCTATAAGTTTAATGAACCACGCCCACAGTCACACCTCTAGATAGTACTGAGATCAGTGAGATGCAATGGAGACTCCAAAAGATGAGGATTTGGAGGAGAGAGAAGACACTGACAAGGAGGAGGAGGAAGAGTCTAGCTCCCGTTATCCTGGTCTAGACAAGAGGCACGGGTTTTTCCTCTCTATAGCTAACAACCAGTCGGACAGAGACAGCTATCACTGGAGAAAAGAAGACGAGAAATTGAAGAGAAAACAAGAAATAGACAACCAAGTGAGTAGGAGGAGGAGGAGACAGAAAAAATTTAATTATTTTATATTTTTATTGTTGAATTTTTTCAGATAAAGCAACAGAAGGAAGAGCGACGGAGAAAGAAACGAGAGAAGCAGAAACCGGATCAACAAGTTTACCGCCCACCACACACTCGGAGAGAGACCACACCTACCCAAATAAACTATCGGATTGAGATCGAAGTCAGACCCAACACATACTGGAGAAAAGACGTATCTCAGGTAAACACCACAAGGATATTGAGACCTTGAATTCATTTATTATGACAAGAGTGTTCTTGATTTATATATAATATTTAGTGCTTTTAGTTTCTACATTCATAATGTATTTTATCTTTTTTAATATTTATAATAGTTGGGAAAAATTAGCGAGTTAGTTAGAAGTGCTACTGATGAGTTTCGCCTGGACGATAGCACTAGTATTGTTCTCAAAGAGGTTTTGTATAATTTTGAAAAGAAGTTAAGAATTCAGCAAAATCACTGACTATATAAATTTTATATAATGTACTGTATAAATCACCATCATTTATTATTAATTTTTAATGTTTCTTTAATTTTTATTATATAATAATAATTATCATTAAAACAATTGATGTATAATTTGTGAAAAGAAGTTAAGAATTCAGCAAGATCACTGACTAAACTTGTACACTACCAATCATCATTATCTATTCTGCAACTGTCATTAAAAGAATTGGTAGTGAACAGTCATTGTACTACTTCCTCCTCCTTCCCATTCCTTTTACTGTCTTCAATGGCTTCTCCTTTGGTTTCTGAGCAAATGCAGATGAAGCACGCCTGAAATAAACGTAAATAAAACAAGAAAAAATTGAATTGAAAACTTAAAATTTTGACTCAGTCAAGACTGTCAAGGTTAATTCATACTATAACACAATATTTACTGTGTTGATATGAATGTGGTACTATAATATCTGCTCTTGCTAACATGTAGACATGTAATGGTGATTACTCACTAACATGCACAAAAATGTCAATATTTACACTAGTCACTACTAATAAGGCAATTCCAGTCTCAATAATAATATTACAATATGTCTACAGTCTGAATTGCAATGTATGATTGAAACAATGAGGACCACTAACAATCAACTATACTCATAAACCATGTACTCACTTTGTAGCAAAT